GTCCACTGCCCGGAGGTCCTAGTTTCAAGTCCGACGGCGGCAGGAGTTTCGACACTAGACTTGTCAGCTAGACCACCGCTAGCCACGGGAGGCCCGCACAGAATCTCGCCATCCAGCGGCAGATGATCACCGCCTCCCGAGAAAAAATGCACCACCAATTACGGATTAATGACCTTAACGGTTTGATGCGCCCGGAATCACAATCAATGAAATTGGATGTGCGGAATTCGTATGTTGAACTGAAAGAAGCGATTTCTTACGTTTCGTCAACTGATAATATTGACAGAAGAGGAGAATACGAATGGGTAGTGTTCCGGAGGGAAATGTTGAACATTTCAGGGGAGAAGAATCGACCAATGAAACGACTAGACAAATAGAACGAAGACTTCACTTAGTCGGCGCCGTGTGAATAAATTGCCAATAGGTTTCTCGTGAAATTGTTTTTCCATTTCTTCGATTTGAATACTTCGGAGAGTGAACAATCATAAACGAAGCAGTTTATAGGCGTTAATTGGTCACTTTGAATAACTTTTCTGGCAGAGGATATCAAAACTATTCCTGCATTCCCTCTCCCTCAACTTGCACCGTGGACTACTTAACTATAATAATTCTATTGTGACGTCATGGATACTCACAGCGACCACAGACACAGAGCTTTCGTATAACAATATAAATTAACAAGAAAACAAAACAAATATATACACTTAATATACTACTTACACCCCTAGCTCTGATAGACCTACTACCCCTGATCGCGGGAGCGATCCAAACCCGATTGAAGATGGTTTTGATTGTGGCATTCGCCCACTTCTACTTTTGAAGCGCGCACAAAGCCTAGCTTCCGTGACCGGATGTCACGCGCGGGCACAAAGTCCGTTCTGGCCACCAACGGCTGGTTTGCCTCGATCGCAGGAGCGATCTTATCCGATTGAGAATCGGCGTGAATCGTGGCACTCAACCACTCTTCACCTCGAGCACGCACACAGCATCGCCCCCCCCCCCCCCCCGTGACCGCAGTCACCCAAGGACATAAAGTCCGCAGGCTTCGTCAACTAGTGACTCGAGCCTCGCGAGCCGGCTCGCATATGCACCGTCGTGGCGCCAAGTTTTGTGCACACGCACGAGGTTCTCCCGCTGTCTCAGAACCCACCCACTGCTACTACGTCACGCCACCCCCTCGCTTGTTATAACAGTGAAAAACTTCTATAAGCCGGAAACTCCCAACAGCCTTGTGTCTCCCGTTCCGCGTTCTTCCCCTTTTACGGAAAACCCTTCTTCCTGTGGCAAGGCTAATCTCTTCCAAGCGTCCCCAAATAGATGCCACGAGGCACGCTGGCTAATTACGTCACGCCACCCCCTCGCTTGTTATAACAGTGAAAAGCTTCTATAAGCCGGAAACTCCCAAGTCTTGTGTCTCCCGTTTCCGCGTTCTTCCCTTTTACGGAAAAACCCTTCTTCCTGTGGCAAAGGCTAATCCTGCCAAGCGTCCCCAAATAGATGCCACGCAGGCACGCTGGCTAATACGTTACACTATTAATAATGATTAAATTTAATAATAATAATAATAATAATAATAATATATGTGTTATAATTAAAAATATGCAGTACTTGGCGAGTGAGTTTTCAAACAGAATTAATATGACAGTGATTTGTTCTTTCTTTTTATACGAATAGAAATTTTTTTACTTGTGTGTGGTATTAATTTAGTAATATAAAAAGAAAAATTCAATGAGGGTAGAAAAAAGGAAAGGGAAAAGAAGGAGTAAAGAGAAGAAAAATAGTGGATGCGAAGAGAAGTAGTCGGCAGAAAGAATAGTATGATACGGAAGAAGAGGTGACTAGAGAACAATATGGCAGGAGACGAGGATGGCAAGGACAATATGATGCCGAAAAAGAGGATTACAGGCTGAAGAGGATGACAGGTAGAAGAGGATTTCGATATCAATATGACATAGACAGAAAGAAGAGAAGATAGCAAAGAGGATGACAATGAGAAGAGGGCGACGACTAGACGACGATGACACGAAGAAGAAGAGGAAGAACGTTAACACGAAAAGCTTCATAGAGCAACAACACGTGCGCGAAAGGGACGTTCCTGGTTCCGCCCCTGCCGGCGGGCGAGCGGCGTGCGGGCGGCGGCAGGGGGGCTGCTCTCTCCCACGGGGTGCACGAGCGTCGCGCCAGCGCCGCGGGGAGGAGCAGACGTTACGCCCCTTCCCCCGCCTCCCCCCCCGCTCCACACACTTCACGCCAACCTCGCGCGCCCTCCGTGGATGTGCAATGCGTGCGGAACGTTAGCGGCGTCTATTCCGCCATTTGGGGAATGGGAAGAGGAGGACACCCCCGGGGTCGACCAGTTTGTGGGTGTTGACGGCTCGCGGATGATCTGTTACCTTCCACCACATGGGGAGAGGGGATCCGTGGGAGACAGGCGGGAGGGCGGAGGAGAGCGCAGAAAAATTCGGTCACCCTCCTGCGGCACGGCGTTGACCGGCGCGCGCTGATAGAGCCTGCCTGCCTGGCGGCGGTGGCGGGGCGATACGGTTCCGTTAAACACATGAGCTCTGGCTCAAGACCACTTCATCTATGAAATACTCCTCAAAATATAAAATGTTTAGCACATTTGTGTAAGAAAAATTAAATATGAAATAAAATGCATTTTAGTAGCACGTTAATAAAAGTATTTTTTAATTATTTTTACAAAAAATAAGTCATTTAGCGTATACATAAAATAATTAATGTTTAATTTTATTTTTTAGGTTACGTGATCAAATATTTTGTGAAATGGAATTAATCTATTTTACTGAAACATTGTATTTATTTATTTACTTACGAAATAACTTTTATAAAACACTTCAATATGAATTTGGAGAATTATCAAATGAAGGCATTAGGTGATGGTCGAACCAATTGAGTTTTGTTATGTTAACATACGAATATGAAGTTACGTTTTATTCACTTTGTAAAAATTCCAATATACCATAACTTTCGTTTGAATTTGACATGTCATACAGCAAAATGCTTTGACATTAGCCATGGAATATTAGAATAGCTGTGTTTTCTAATAATTCTTATCACCGAATTTCAGTTGCGTTATGTTTCTGTTGAGTTGAAAAATATTGTAGAGATTATTTTATTTTTAAAATGTTCTTAAATTGAAATATATAAATTAAATGTAATGTTTAAATTGAATTCATATTATCATGAATAAACCTGATCAAAATCATTTTCATAATTAGTTCCTTTTAATTGAAATATACAAATGGAATGGAATGTTTAAATTGAATCATTATCATGAATAAACCTGAGCAAATCCAACTTGAAAAATAGTTTCCTCTAATGTCCTTAAATGCCCCCCTCCAGCGCGTCAGGCCGGGGGTGCGAAGAGCGGGGGGTGGGGGCGAGCTGGGGCTTCGCTCGGTTCGGAGTCCAGTCGAGGAGCGCTCCGCCGGGCAACTGGTAGCCGCGGCGGCATTTCAATGACAAAACGCGGGGCTGCGGCCCGACACCTCCGGTTCGGGGTGGGGCGTGGAAATACCGGGATGCTCCCGGCATCCCGCCGGGCGGGATTTCTACCGGACTGCGCTTTTGACCCATTTTTACTGCGGGACTGAAAGAACGCTGGCATTTCCCCCGAACGCAGGCAGTTTTTCATGATTTTGGAAGGTTTTTTTAATCATACTCTATTTGTGTTTCCATCGTTTCCATCATCAATGTAATGAGTAGGGAGCGGATTTTAATGAAATGTCGTTTGTTTGTTGTTTTCACTTTAGGACAATGCCGTTTAGTCTAGAAATTCATTTTATATTGTGACAATATAAACAAATCGTATAAGTCATTTTTTACATAAACATTTTTCGTCTATTTCGACTTATCAGTCTTTTTTTTTTACATTTTTACGTCATTTTAATCGATTTTTTGCTGACGTATGTGACTTTAATATCATTTTAATGCTACTTGCGTCTAACAATATTTTCGAGATGCAACAAATGTTTACCACAGAATTCCTGGGTAGCCTATTCGATTTCTTCGCTCATATTTTGTAATGCGAGTACTGCGTAATCTAAGGTTCTTGCCGCGCCTATTGGCTTCATTTTCAGTTCGGCCGATTTCGCGGTAAATAAAGGTAGAAATTTTCTTTGAAAGAACAGTCCAAACCGACAGTTTTCTAGCTGAGTTCACTTGAACAAAAGTAATAAATCAATATTTTTTTCATTAAATGCAATGAGAAAATAAAATTTATTAGTTTGTACCTAATTCTTTGCTAAATCTGCATACTTTCGAACACTGTATGCATGGACGAGCCCTCCGGTTCATATTGAACATTGTATTGAGATATTTGAATCTCCAAAAGCTTCACATGTGAGTAATTGAAAATGTATGTTTCAGCTTTGTAAAAAAGTGTGAAATAAAAGCGCAAAGTTCTTTTTGCACTAGAATTACTTCCTACTTTTAATCCATAAATATATTTCATAGTGTTCACACACGCTTATACTTATGTGTGTGGGAAAATGTATGTACTTTTTGTTTGTTTTCAAAATTTCTACTTTCCCTTTCAAATAGTTTTCAGTGCCTATTATATTGTGCCCCTGTAGTAAAAATACTTATTAATTGGCATCCGTTTGTGAATAAACATTTCCATTCTCAGACAAGTTCCGTGAGTCAGTATGCTACCGTAATACTGTATTTGGTATTTGAATATTGCGGACAATTCGAAGCATTTGCGTGAAAGCAGGAGCCAAGTGGCCGGCGGGTAGAACAATTACCCTTGCCAGCGGCGGAATTTCCATCCGTGGTGGGCAGGGGCTGCTTCTGCATTTCAATAACAAAACACACACGCGGCGGCGGCAGCAGACGACACCTCGGGTGAGGGAGGGGGAAGAGGCGGAGGGGAGGGGCGCGACAGCGTCGAAGCGCGTCCGCCCCGCGCCGCCACCGCCGCCGTGGCGCGCTCCCGTCGAGCGGGCGAGCGCGCGCGGCGCCGCGAACCGACGACGCCCGAAGCCTCCCGAGCGGCTCCGAGCGGCTGAGATGTGAGTCAGTGGGGCAGTCTGGGCTGGCAGTCGGTCTGTGGAACCGAAGGAAGCGGGTGCTGGACGGAGGCGCTCCGTGCTGCGAGACTCGCTCATACAGAGAAAGAGAGAGAGCGCGCGCGGCGGCGACGACGACGACGACTGCGTGCGGTGCCACTCTCACACGCTGTCCCCCGCCGGCGTCAGCCGCGACCCGCGCACCAGTGCCGTCAACCAGTGCTCTTCCTCCGCGCCAACAAGTGCTCCTTGTGTCAACTACTGTGCGTTCTGTCACAGACAGAGCTTTTGTGCTTTCGGTGCGACAACACCCCCTCCCCGGAGTAGTGGTGAACAGGCTGGTAGTACGTTCGCGGAGTGCGCGAGTGACATCTTCTCCTCCGTCATCTGCCGCGTGGTGCTAACGCAGTGGGGCTGACATGGCTGTCGCTACCGGCAGCCGATCCTTAACCACCGCCGCCCAGCGGTGCGGCCTTAGTACGGCCGCTTTTTATTAAATCTTCTTCTTCCGCGCGGCGCGCCGAGGAAGCCAAGTTTTTGTGAACATAAAAGTGTGTGCGAATTGAAACCCAATAAAAAGTTCGCGATGCTCGCGGTGGAGGCGACGATGGATGCGGACAGCAGCTGTCTGCCTCTAGACCTGAGTTTGAACTCCGCGCGGGTCAGTGCGTCCCCCGCGCCGCCCTTGAGTCCGTGCCGCGGCGACTACTGCACCGATGACTCTGATGACTCCGAGTGCGCCCAAGGGGACCGTCGGTTCCCCGCGGGGCTCAAGAGCTGCAAGGCGTACAAGAAGTCCCTCATGAGGCGATACCGTAAGTACCAACCCGTGCTATGGTGTGTGTGCCCAGGATGACTTGTGCGTCAAAACACGCTTTCATGTTGCGCCTACATTGAATTGTGTAGGAGGGTGTGACAGTGGTTTTGTATTGTCACCTACCGATGCATTCGTCGGCATTTCCTGGTCATGAGTTGACACTGCGAATGGACCACTTGTTTGGATATACTGAAACGAAAGCGTGTTGTTTCGGGCCTAGGACAACGCGAACACACGTCCATCCGTTGTCTTATTTATATATGCCGAGACTGCGCGAACGGACATAAATTTTAGCGCACTATCGCTGACTAACTCAAAGCCACGCAGTGAAAGTGGTTTAGCGTATTGACGGAAGGTAGTTCAAGTCATGTAGGTCAGTATTGAAGTAGGTTATAATCCACTGTTCAAAATTGCGGAATTACGGAAATCACTAGGGAACTCTAAATGCTCACGCTTTCCAGTCGAACACCGCTGAAAAGGGAAATTCGCAAATATTTAATTGAAATCAAGTGAACCAAAGTGTGGTTAATAAATTGAAATAATACTTTTTAATATACCTTATTAAAGTGTCAGCCAAAATTTCATGGAATAATCTCCATTTGTTTATTGCACTTGACTTCGTTGTATATTCCCAGAATTCGTAAAAAGATAATTTTGTCTGCCACCCAGTCGTTTAAGTATCAACAAGTCTTGAGATATTTATGACGCGCTCTGTATGTGGGTTGTGGATGCCCTTTCAGTTAAGTTGAACTCTCAAAATATTTTCAAAGTTTTTTTTAATTGTCAGTGTACATGCGTTATGAATTGCTAGTAAGTTTTCTTTAACATAGTAAAAATCTTTAAAATCAAATAAATGTTTCTATAAATCAGTTAGTCATAAATTACACAGACTGCTTAATATTTTTAGACAGTTTAAATTATTCACAGAAAAAGACACTTTCCAAGAACAAATAACGTTTTATACATAATATTATGGCACATAGAATTTGTACTTGGAAGTTTTTCATTTTCTCAGCGACGATGTCTCATAGCATTCAGTCCTATATTCATTGTGCTCAAGTAAAACGTAACGATGGCATGCGGGAAAGTCATGAGTGGGCCTTTGTTGTATATCAATTGTTCAAGTCATATGGGAAACGTGTAAAAAGGAAAACAATTGTATTTTATTTCTATTAAAACTCCTCGTTCGGAGACATTCACAATATAAAAAATATAAATTAAAAACAAACAAGGAAATGCTTATTCTCGTAACATTTGAATTGCAGACTCACAGATGAACTTTTAAAGTGTTCCTTATAATAAAACTTCATTTAAATTAAAGACCACTACCATTTACGAGCTTTTCGCTTAATTAATTTTATTTCAAATAAGTGAAAAACAGACGTATTTCCACAGAACATAACGGTTAATGAATACGTATATATCCCAGCTGTAATATACAATAAATGTTCTTGTGTAAAAAAATAAAGAGCGCTTTTATTGTTTTCAATTATAAACTGTTAGATCCTGGTGTTTACCACAGTAATAATTAACGTATTTCTTTTGTCTTCGAAAATATCTTCTTTTATTTTTAACGTTTTTATCGGGCGCCAATGGTTTATTTTCCTCCCCTCGCGACAAAAGTACTACAAAGGGACGAGACGAACTGGCTGGCGTCATTGTCTGCGGGCAGCGGCTAGCTCGCAGAGAGAGGGAGTAGGGATGCAGTGAGGCGGAGTCGTATTGCAGTCAGCCAGCCCATTCAGGCAGCGAGCGCCGGGCCGGGCCGCGCCGCGCCGCACGGCGTTGCGCCACTTTCGCTCTCTGGCGGCGCGGGCGGCGCGGCCTGAACTTGAACTGATTAGAGAGCGAAGCGCCGCTCGCCCGCGCCGCCTGCGCCGCGCCGATGTGGGTGACCTGCTTTCCGCGATCGCCGCTTCTCCGCTCCGCTCCGCTCCCGGAGCCGCGCCGGGGAAAGCGAGTCTTCCGGAGGAGCGCGCCTCTTGCCCGTCGGGGTTCCGGTGGGTGGGTTTCCTCCCCTGGTGCAGGGTTTAGGTGGGTGAATTTATTTTACGCTTGCTATACGGAATGGGGGGCGGGGGTATCGCGTCGGCGAAGGGTGGGTTTCGGTGGGAGAGTTCTCTTTCCTCTCGCGGGGTGGAAGTTGCGTTGGATTGATTTCTTTGGCTCCTTTCGTTTGGATTGGGGAGATGCACGGAGGAAGCGCGCGCGATGTAGTATCCGTGTGAGTGGGAGAGGAAAGGAATGATGGAAAGGGAGCAAGTATCCCCACATAACGAGATTCTATTTACCGAATATAGGAATTGGAGAACTATATTTCGATTGACATGGGAAATTAACCAAAAATTGGATATCGAAAACGCTGTTTTAAATTTTCTTTGTTCCTTCCTTTTGTTTTAAGATTATTTTGCTGGTTAATTTCATCCGCGCGTTGTAAATTTGATGTTCTTGTCTTTCGTCGTTTTCCTGATTAGCTAGTCCAGAGCAGCAAAGAGATGATAAACCTCATTTGTTAGTTACTGAGAAGGGTAAGCTCCCCGTTGGTACAATCCGAATTTGCGCCAACTCCCAAAACACGAAGTTACACACATTACGTACGACTTCAAACACTTCATTTCGCGTCTTACTGCGATTCCTCATTGAACTTCACCCCCGGTTCCACATCTCGCTGCACGTCTTCGCTTTTGAAATCGGACGACTTACTTCTCTGCAGCAGCCTGTGCAAGGATTCTCACGCGAGGGGAAAAGTCTGGAACGCAACACGCAGCGGTAACTCTGTGGTCGAAAAAAAATAAAAACGCGGGTCTGTGTTCACCACCCAGTCGTTTTCGTCCACTGCAACAAACACCGTG